GTGTGAGTCTGAAGAGGAATTTTTAGACAAGTATCAGATATATGGGCTAATATCAGACTGACGAACTTAATCTGGACTGGACTAGGATATCTTCTCAATATACAATTGCTTTTTGATATAAAGCTCTCTTAACACATATATGAGTGTCTCTGGATTTGTTTCTCTAGTCAACCTGGACTAACACAACTACCATCTACTCTTACACATTTATCCCAATATATAGAATTATACTAGGAAAAAAGTCTTAATGTTTGCGATTGTTTAAAAGGAATGATGATGACATTTCAAAATTGTCTTTCAGGGAGTTTTTGTTTGTTTGAACAGTATAGTTCCTCTTGAAGTTGCCTGGTATGTACAATGAACCAACTTGGAACATCTTGATCCTAATCTTCCCCTTAGATGTAACTTTAATATGAAGTTGCTAAAGACAGTTTCTTTATGTTGCTAAAACTACCATGGTGCAGGCATAAGGGAGGGATGGGTATTGTGATAGTTAAGTTTATTGTGCCAACCTGGTAAAAAGAACATGTGGGATTGATCAGTCATATTTTGCTTGGAGGACAAAGAGATACATGGCTCTGCTAGGCACACCCCGCTCCTCCTCTCTCTTGCTCTCTGGTGATCAGACTAGCGTGCTGCTGCTTTAGCTAGTTCTCTGCCTCAACCTGTGAACCACACTACCTGTGGGCCAAGCCAACCCATGGATCATGTTGTTAGAGCTTGAGGCTCCTTCAAGACCTGCTTTGCCATGCTGCTGGTGCATACATCACTTGAGTTTGAGGCTGGTGGATCTTGTCGCCTTGCCTTGCTTGAGTACAATAGCCTATCCAGGTCTGTTTTGCTAAGCTCCTGAGTGATTAACTGTTCTGACCTGACCTGCTGTTTGCTGCCTGTGGGCAGACTGTGCTTGCCTCGACCCCGGGAGGACTCCTCTGTCTGCTTCCTTGACCTTGACCCTGTAGCCCATGTGAGTTATATGACATCCAGTATATTAACTGTTCCACAAAAGTGAGTTGAACTGAGCCATCTGTACTGCTGTGTTCACTAATTAGCTGTCATATTCCTTCTCACTGTTTAGCCCTATCCTCTCAATCCCGAGCTTCCCCTTAAATAGAACCTTAATATGACATTGATAAAGATAATCCCTCTATGTTGCTAAAACTACCATGGTGCAGGCATAAGGGAGGGATGGATATTCAGTATAAAATTTACAGTATGAGTCATAGAAAGTCATCATATGGATAAAGACTGAACTATACGTTGAGCATTTTTATAAATGAGAAGCTTCAGTAATCACTGTGAGTTGGCCCCACAGCCCTGTCCCTCTTCTCTTGACTAACAGTAGTTGGGCTGGTATGACCATCGTATCCAATCCAGGGCCATGAATCTTGATGGACTTTGGTAGACACGGGTCTAGGGGCAGACAACATCCCAGTTTAGACAGCGATGCAGGCATAGGGGATTACTTTTCCCTAAACATAGAATGAGAGAAAGTGTGAGTGTGTTGTATGCAAAGAGAAAGCTCTTTGACCCCCATCCCCACCATCTACTTCCTTCCTGTTCAAACTGCTGTCCTGCCTGGATGTGAAGCATGCTGCTTTGCAGTCAGCATGAGACAGTGGCCATGCAGACAGACAGAAAAGGGCTCAGGTCTGGATCAAGGACAGTGGTTTGGGAAAGAAAGCCCTTCAAAGATAAGCAAATGAGTAAATGTAGGCATGCAATGGGGGCTTCAAAATGTTTGTGGGAGCTGGGAATTAAAAGGTACTGGAGGTTTTGGACACCCCCTCATGTCAATGTCTTTGGAAGCTAAGGTTGAAGGGGAGAGAAGCAAGGAAGGAAGTGGGGGAGGCAGGGAGAGTTCTGTGGTTTGCAAATGTAGGACTAGAATTGGAAGTATGGGAGTATCGTGATGAATTCATGAGACAACCTACCAATAACAGCAGAAAATCACCCCAACCTAGTGAGCACACATTTAGTCTCCAGATTCTAGTTCATGAAACAATTCCCACTAAAAAAAAATCTAGGGCTTCTTAGAGGACCGTGTGCCTCTCGGGCTGAGGCAAGAAAATCATAAAATAAACCTGATTATATTTTATAGCTGTGGGCTAAGAGCCGGACTGCTAACCACAAGGTCAGCAGCTCAAAATCACAACTGCTCCTTGGGAGAGAGATGAGGCTGGACACTCGCACAAAGATTCACCATTTCAGAAACCCTGTAGAGGGTGGCGACAAGTCAAAGTCGACCCCAGGGCCGTGGGTCAGTGTTGAGCCAGAGAATAAAGAACAGATTTGGTTTTAATGGGGAGACATGATTTTTATTTTTAATATTTTAGAAATCATATGCCAGCTTTGGGAGCTTTCATTGGCCAAAATGAAATGATTAAGGAATCCGGAATCCTGGTGGCACAGTGGTGGAGTGCTTAGCTGCTAAGTGAAAGGTTGGCATTTTGACACCGCCCCCCCCCACCCCCAACCCCAGCCTCCCTGCAGGAGAGAGATGACCAGCTGGGCGCTGCCACAGGCCAGTTCTGCCCTGCCTGTGGAGTCACTCACTATGAGTCAGAATTGATTGACATCCACAGGAAGAGAAAGCAACGGTTCTCCCTGCAGTGTGCCTGCTAAGATGATGAATTTATAAAATTAATAACTTGCAAACATGGTCATTAACAACGTCTTCTCACTACAAGTCAACAGTAGATGATAAAAGGACTGGGAGATTGTTTGATGTAGAGCAAGATATTTGCATAGTCTCCGAATCTCTGCACAAATTTTGCACAAAGTACCAACAGTAAAATGGATCGGACGATTGAACCCTCCTCTTAAACCA